TTCTAACAATTGGTATCAGAGCCTAACTCGCGTCCAAACTTAACCGTTTGAGAGTAAAGCGATCATGGGTTCTTCTTCTAGAAATTTGTATGCAGGAATAGGTGAAGGGCAATCAACCACACGGCCACCTCTTTTTGATGGAACCAATTATACATATTGGAAAGAACGAATGAGAATCTATATTCGTTCCACGAACTTCCAATTATGGTTGGTTATCAAAAACAGGGAAGAGGTGCCGATGAAGAAAGTCGGAGACAAGTTGATCCCCAAGACCGAAGACGAGTTTGATGCCGAGGACATCAAAAAGGTCAAGAATTATGCAAAGGCAATAAATATGCTTTATTGTGCCGTAAATCCTGATGACTACCGCAAGATCTCCTGCTGCTCAACCGCCAAGGAGATGTGGGACAAACTTGAGGTGACGTACGAAGGAACGGACCAAGTACGTGAAGCCAAGATTGACTTCCTCACCCAAGAATATGAGATGTTCACGATGAAGGAGCACGAGAAGATCGACGACATGTTTGACCGTTTTTCCAAGATAGTCAATGACCTCCATGCATTAAAGAAGACATACACCGACAGGGATCTTGTGCGAAAGATCCTACAGAGCTTGACATCCGAATGGCGATCCAAGGCCGATGACATCTATGAATCAATCAGCACATCAAATGTCACCATCGACAGCCTAAGAGGTAATCTAAAAACCTATGAATCTACTATTCTTAACCCGTCTTTAAATGACCAAAGGAAAGGGATAGCATTAAAAGCCGTCAAAGAATCAACGATGGATGATTCAAGCGACGATGATGAAATCAAGCTTGTCATGAAGAAGTTTTGTAAACTTCTAAGGAAGAAAGAAAAGGTTGAGAATGGCCCTGTGTGCTATGGATGTGGTGAAGCCGGGCACATCAAGAACGAATGCCCGAAAAGCAGAAGGAATTCTCGGCACTTCAAAAGGCAAAGGGCATATATCTCTTGGGGTGGCGACTCCGGCGACGAGTCAACCGATCAAGACGAGGATGAAACTGCCAACCTCTGTCTCATGGCGCACGAAGACCAAACCGACGATGTACAAGAGGTATGTACCATTTCTTCCGACTCTTACACCTTTTGAAGAAATGCAAGAAGCACTTCATGAACTTTATGACGAATTTGTTAGCGCTTCTAAAATCAACAAATCGTTAAAGAAACGCCTCTCCACTCTTGAAAATGATTTTGAAAATCTGAAAAAAGATAATGAGAAGTTAAAACAAGAGAATAAATTTTATGGCAAAAGAAGCGCCGACAAACCAGAAAGTTCCTCAAACA